TATACATTATATTTCCTGAAATAATGCAGTGGGCCAGAATGCAATTTCAGGATGAGTTGCAATTCAGCTTGGTATTTGCATCCAAAGTACTTTGGTATATTTCAAAATTGCCTTTAAATAGTAATTTCTCTGAAGCAAGCAAGTGTAATCGGTGCAAGGTTCCAATCTAAGTGCAAAGTTCCAATCTACATAAAGTCAACTGTATATGCTTTATAAGCAGAGAAAAAAATAAATAAAATTTAATTGTACAAGCCACTCTGCCTATACCTTCCCTGAAGTGGAGGTGAGGACACAGATGTCAATTTAAATTTCTTTCGTTCACCCCAATTTTCTTACCCTTTTTGGAAGTAGTTCTGTGTTAATAGGCCTTTGGTTCCTGGCATGCCAGGGCATCTCCACCCCTGGTGCATGCTGATTGAGACTAGGCGTGGTGGCGCATGCTTGTAATCCTAGACCTTGGGAGGTTGAAAACAGGAGGATCACTACAAGTTTGATCTGTGTAGTGAGACTCTGTACTAAACACATTTAAAAATATGCCTTTGGTGATTAAAGATATATACTTTTCCTACTGTATATAGCTTAGGCAGTAAAAGCACTGTTCTATATTCTATAGATATACAGTATATACCTTAGTAGCTGATTTATACCTTAGTAGCTGGTTTAAACATTTAGCATCTAAACCTGATGCTAAATCAATGGAATGAAGATCTTAAGCAGTCTAAGAAAAAGAAATTGGTCTGTTGGATTCAGTACATGGAAAAACAGTATGTCAGCCTCCAGAAAGTTTTCAAAGGCTGTCCCTGAGAGTGTTTACCTATACACAGCAACTACTTCAGCTCTGACTTTGGATACCTAGTGTATCGCACAACTTGTACTTTTCCCCAAACAAAATCTCTTTGGAGATCTTAGTAGTCACTGACATACCACTCTTCCTCCAAATTTTGCTCCATTGTAGGCCGCCCTGCAGAGAGACCTGAGCATGGAATAAGGAGGAGGAGAAAGGCACAGCATTCGCTGGAGTGCAGGGAACTTCTCCGCACCTCAATGTACTGAAAATGGCGTTGTCTGTGAACCTCTACTGGGATGGTGGACTTGGCTGGTGATTCCACTGAGGCTTTGATAAAAGCCCATAAGTAAGGATAGGCTCCATATTGTTAAAATAAATGGTTGTAAAAATAGAAGACACACCCAACTGTTTTGAAACTACCCTGGTAATTTGAACTAACTGTGGAGCTTTTTCCTCTAACCCATGGAACAGGTTGCGGGGAAATGCTTTCTGTCAAGAAAAGGAACCTTGTAGTAGCAATGAAAAGTATGTCACAAGGACACCCCAGGGAGCAAGTACAAAGGTTTTTCATGATCACAAGTATCTAACTCCCCACCATCAAGAAGGAAGAATTGCTGTTCTAGCCCTGTGATGTTTTTCCATAGTGATTATCGTAGAAAAATGTCTCCTTTTTAGAACTTTTGCCGACTGATATTTTAACTACAGAACTGTCAGGAAAAAAAAGAATTTTGATTCTAGTTCTACTATCTTAATGTAAAAGTGAGCTGGTTATATTTTATGAGTGTAATGACAATAATCATAATGGCTTCCACTATTGCTTGTTTTTTTTTTTTCCTGTCTCAAAAACCAAAAGCCTTTTTTATTTATCAAGCACAGTATTAACCACTTACAAAGGCAATAAAAAAGCCAAATATTTAAGAGAGAACATCACTTTTTCAAAAGCATGAATACAGAACCCCAGAATCTACAAAAACCCTTTTTACATTTTTTGTTCCACAGCACTCTAGTTCAGGGTACAAAATAAGCTGACTGGGCAGCAAATGGAATGCCACAAGCCCTAGGCCATCCACAGATGCCAAGGCATGTTCAGCACTCCCACACCCCGCAGCGAACCACCAGCCACGAGTCGTGGGGATTTAGTATGTATGTTCCTATCAGCCAGGAATCCCACACCACCAAGGGCTCCTATCCAGCCTTTAGACATGCTGCTGAGGCTGCAGCACGGACAAGACAGTGAGCTGATCAACAACCCCTGCCAACTCCGCCATGTTCTTTTATACTGGTTTTCACAATTGGGAAAATTATCTATAAACCTAAGAATTCACTTATTAGACCATATATTGCCCCGGAATGGAAGGGGTAACTGGAGATCAACTACCTTCATAAACAGATGGTTTATTTTCAGCAAAGAGACCAAAGCACAAAGCCAAGGATAAGAAAACTTTTTAGATGATAAACACATGTCTCAACAGTATCCTCTGTGTGGAGTCTGCTTGTTATGTCACAAAGACCTTGACCTTAAATCAAGCACAGGCTAAAGGACACAATCCGAGAGTGACATCAAAATGAATGTTTAAAAGCAAACAATGACAGAAAAGAACTTAAAACTGCCAAGCCGGTATGAACAGTCATTTGTTTCTAGAACAAGGGAACATTCCTAACTAAATTTTGTAGCCTTTATCAACTCCAGACTACCACACATTTTCCAGTACTGCCAGTCACGCGCAGCTACGGCCTGTGCTCGGGACCTGCCCCTCAGGCAATTTTAGCCAGCCATTTCTCCAGGTCCTGGACGTTGGCAGAACCTCCATCCCCTCTCCCACCCTTGGCACTGCACTCGAGGAACTCCACTTTGAAGGGCAGCTGTGAGAATTCAAACTCTTTGCCTTTCTTTCCTAGATGAGCAGGGACAGTGCTGGAACTGTCCAGTGTGCTGGGCGCAGCAGAGCGGGTAACTCGTAAGGTGTTGAGTTCTTTCTCAAGTTGCTGCTGAATTAACTTTGCTGATTTTGCCATTGTGATATCTTGCTTGTTGCAGGCTATTAAGAATGATGGTGTGTTCTTCAGACCCATACTGTCTAGGAGGACTTGATACAGAAACTCGGCCACGTCTTTCACCTCTCGCTGGAATGATGCACTGTCCACAACAAACACAAAAGCTCTTGCCGAAGACTTAAACCGCTCTAGGAACTGAAGCCTCAAGCTTTCATGCCCAGGCAGGTCAATCAAGGTCAAACTATTACCCCTGTTATTGTTGACTCTGTACACTGCAGAGCTGTCAGTAATAGAAGTCTGCGTGTCTCTGTAATGGCCCGTTAACAGCCTGACAAACAGCAGTGTTTTCCCGGAGTCACAAAGACCCACAAGAAGAACTGTTCTTTGACTGCTTTTTCGGCTCCAGATGAATTTCCATACCACCAGCGTCAGCAGCACCGCGGCGACCGCCAGTGCTACTGACAACAGCGTCGGGTCACTCTGCTGTAGCTCTTGTCTCAAAGAGTCCAGGTAGGGCTGGAAGGTGCCGCCTGCCCCGCCGCCATCCCCTACTCGCCGGGAGTCCACCTGCTTGTTTTTATAATTAAATGGGTTGGCAGTAACAATAACTAATGTTTATGTATCAATGCAGATTAATTAGCCCATCTTCACATACATCATCAAAGATGTGAAACTTCAGATAAGAAGACTTTCCTCTTATAAACTGACTGAACGATAATAATCATAACTGTTCTTAATTCCACATCTGCATATAAAATAAGCTGCCACTTGACTAATATTACAAGTACTTTTGAAGAATGAAATACTCAACTTCCTGTAAAGTCATATTTTTTTCCCATAAAAATAGCATAGATGGCTTAGACTGTTTGAAAATGCTTTGGAGTTTCTTGAAGGAGGAGGAAACTTGTGTACAAGAAGGAGGTGTAAGTACCAAGGCAGAGGGAAGGATTGAAAAGGACTCACGGGAGGTGCTGGAGCACACGTGCCCAGGGCAACATGGGCTGAGTGCTGTTCGCAGAATCTGCGGTGATTTATCTATTCTGCAAAGTTGGAATTTTTATTCCAAGTTCTCTCCTTGATTCTCAGCACATTACTCTTTCCACTAATATCAATTAATTTGGTTCTGTAATGTGTTCAGGTTGTATGTTTCTAATGTTGGGAGACTTAATTAACCAAAATGAAACCTTTAAAGCCATTTTTTTTTTCAGGACCACAAATATAAATAATTGAACATCTTTTATTTTTTTAATTTTTATTTATTCATTTATTTATTTATTTTTGGCAGAAACAGGTATTGAACTCAGGCCCTTGCACTTGCCAAGGAAGCGCTTATTCCACTGAGCCATCTCCCCGGCCCTGAACATCTTTTATTATAAATGGCATGCATGCCTGGGTTTAATCAATGTGAGGGCACCTAAAATATAAAATCAGTTCTTCTAGTGAAAGTAATTAATTCATTGGCCATACCTCTTGATTTAACTCTGCAAAATGATTTTGGAAGAGCAAATCCACCCAGAAGTAGACCTGAGGATAAAGTTTCTCATTTTTATTTTTACTACTATTCTTTTCCTTCTTTTGACTTTAGGCACCATGCTGTGCCTATTAGTGATTTTTGAAAGAAAAACCTCTCTGAGAAAGGAAATTTTCTAAAAACAGAATTCAATTTCTTTTCACCGTGTCTTTCAACATACATAGCTGTTACATCCACCCACTTCTATCAGCACCTCTCTGCACCAGAAACCTGCAACTCATGCTTTGCTGTCCCTTAGAAGACGGTCTTGTTCCTCGAGACAATCTGCACAATAAGATCAAGCTGATTTTTTTTTCTCTTTTTAGCGAGGAAGGTCGCTGCCGTTCAAGTCTAGCACAGTTTTTATTTCTTGTATGTGAAGGAAACTGTCACTAAGAAAAGGGAAGACTATATCAATATACTCACTTTCTACAATAAGAAAATAGCAAAAGAAATCTGGTATCATGTTAAATTGTCTCTTCACTCTTTTCCTTGGGATTTTAGCTGTAGATTGATCAAGAACAAATTATTTAGTTACATAAGATTTTTGTTATACTGAATAAAACTAACAATGGAAATACTGTAAATATTTTAAATGGAAAAGTTCAAATATTAGGAGGAAAACTCACAATTAAAGCAACCAGGAAACGAATAATTTCATGACCTTTGTGTTTATTAATCCACTGATTGACTTAATAATACAGCAGACATGTATTAAACTCTGGCTCTGTGCAAGGTGCAAAATCTCTTACCAGGCCACCAATCAAATGGGGGAAAGATCAACACTTGGAAAATAACTTTTAGCTTAATTAACTGATTAATACATTTATTCCAAAAATATTTCCTGAATGTTAATGTTTCACATCTAACAGGTAGTTGGAGAGCATTGGATTTGACAGTGTTGCACAATGGCACGTATGGAAAATGTATTGAAAGTACTGGGAATATAGGAAAAATGCATATTAGGAACCAAAGGATTTCTTCCAGTATGGAGGACATAAAGATGATAACGTTACTGAATGCAAAAGTACTAATTATGAAAAGAGCACAAAATTATTACACTAAGAAATGTTAACTTGAAGGAAGAAAAGTCACAACAAATTACACATTTTAAAATGCTAACATGAACTAAAATTATAAAATTTATAAGATACTATTTATGTGAATAAACTTGGTGATTAATTCTTCGTAATTCTTTAGTTTTTAACCTATGGACCAGTTCTTCGGATGACTGTTCATGTGATACTTTTCTACAGAGAACAAGAAAGGAATTTTAGTCTTTCTTATATCATTGTTCACATTTGTTTTTTATTTGATGATTCTGAAAAGTTTCTCTAGGACTAGTAGGTCATTATCAGTAATGTCATAAAATATTTTAGGTTTGATATTTAGGTTTGGTATAACTTCTATCATATTTCTTTTATCTATGGGCTCTAAGATTCCCTAGCATTTCACCTTTACTTATGTAGTGGACATTTAAATTCTTATTACTCACTTATCTATGTGCCCTTGATGTTTCTGTGTCATGACCTATTTTTCATCTTATGTCATCTTCTTCATTATCTATATTTAACTTTTGTCTCCTCTTAGGTGGTTTCTGAAAAATGCCTATAAGCACATTGAACCTAGCAATGTAGAAGTGTGATTTGGAATTGAAAGAAAAAGACAACATTTTAAACAAATAGAGGTTCACATGGTATTAGATTTTACACAAACATATGAACTCAATATCTTTCTAGGGACTTACAAGAATCCCATGAGAATGATAAGTATTTTTCTCTGGTTTGGAGTTGTCAAAATTATCTGAGAGAAACTCACTCAGGTTAAAACTAAGAGAGTGCTAGGAATGCTCCACTTTTGAGGCATAATAAACAGGCAAAATTTATTATTGCATGGTGAAAGTAAAATTTCCTTTCTGTTAACATAGCACTAGCTGTTGTTTCCTTTAGCAGTAATTTGCATAGTTACATGTTTGCACATACCTGTAACAGCTGAGTATAAAGGGTATAAAGCATCTTCATCTACAGGAGGTAAAATGGAAAAAAAATACAATATAAGCAAGGTCTGGAGTCAAAAGCTAAGAAGAAAAATTAGGCTGTTATCATTATCTTTGCCATAACTTGGGAAGAATCTCTTAAAATTTAGGATAGATACTTTTCCCAAATTCTATTCATTCAAAATGGCAATGGAACAAATTTAAGCTGCAATCTATTGGGAATGACACATGGTAAATATATACATACCATCCAGCTCAGTGGAGAAGTTTTTTGAGACCAGCAAAGTTTGATGCCTGACCTGTTCAGAGCAATACAATAGAGTAGGTGCTTCCTAACAAAGCATTTAGACATTGTCAAAGTATAAGCCCTGAAATGCATTGTTGCTCAGTCACCAGAGGGAGTCCATACTAACAAAGTGAAAGAGGGAAAATTTGAAGGTAACAAAACCTTAATACTCTGTGAGTGAGTGCATGAGTTTGAACCACATCTCTGAAACACACTGGAATTTAATTTCTCATTAATTTGGAATTGTAATGAGTCCTTGTATAGTCGAAGATGTATATTATTTTTAGTCCATTAATCCTATTCTGAGACATTCTATGTGGAAAATTCTAAATCATAGATTTTCACTGATTTATATTTCTGAAACTGAAGAACAATCTTGTAATCAATAAGAAAACATTTTGATATAATTAAATTAGAAAGCTTTCTTATTTCTGAAAACTAACAGTCTATATCTTATTATTGATAGTGTTTGTCCTAGATTTGATGAAACATATTCATATCTTAACTGAACTCTAGTATAAATGTATCTGGCAATAGATTCTAATATATTCATTGCAGTTTTCACAACATAAATCCTGGAATAATCTAATTGCCCATCCAAGTTTTGATGAACACTTTGTGATAAGTTTAAAGAATGACAGACAGCCAAAGGAGCAGATGTGAGTGCGGCATAGTTACAAGCATCAACATGGAGAACTAAAAATATCCTTTGCTTGAGAGAAGTAACAGGACAATATACATGAGCTAAT